AAGGAAAAAATAACGTGACACGACTTAAATTTTGCATTTGTCCACTTCCTCAGCGTGTCCTGCTCAGCTTCTCATCCAGAACATCCCACTGCGGATCTGGTTGTAGTCGGGCAGCTGTTCGATTGGACCTGAGAACAAACAAACTTATTGCTTATCTGCTTTAACATCAGGCAGAAACACGAGTTTGAACACAGAGTTCCAGAGACGCTCTGATCTTTGACTGACTGCATCGTCACACTTGAAGCTACGCTCACTTCCTGTTTTGGTTCAAGATTTAAACCCAGAGTTCTGATAAACCATTCTTTTCTTTACAGGCGACAGAAAACTGATTAAAATTGTAAATCAGGGCTAAAAGCTAAAACATCAGTCTGCATAGTTCAGCCGTCACAGTGACGATCACTTGCATCACCAGCAGAGTTCAAACTGGGATTCACTCCCCACACTGAGCCGCCGGCTTCCTTTTATCGTACACTCCGAGTTTCGTTAGGTTCAGCCTCTGCAGGCGTCCCGTGTTTGAAAACGTACCGACAGCTGCGATGGCAGGAGCTCTGTTGTAGATGTATTTGGTGCACACGTCCTTTATGGTGTTTGCGTCGATGGCCTGTGGAGAGCCAGAGACAAACATGGTGGAGGATCAGGGCAAAAAGAGCTTTTCAAACATTATTTCAGGTCGTGCTTAAAGACACTGGCTGGGACGTTACCAGATTTACTTTGAGGCTTTCTCAGCCTCACACAGTTTATCACTGTGACTCTGTTATTGTTCTGGTCTTACTGCTTTAAATGTAAAGAAACCTGGCCTTATGAAAAAATATACTCTTATGATGCATTTTAACTTTAAATATGGAAGCAGCAACAAGCACACGTGACGAGTGCCAGAAAGCTCAACGTTCCTGGGATCTCACTTCCTCCTCTGGTTGCAGTTTTTCTACGTTCAACAGTCACAAAGATGGAATTCAGCTGCGACGTTCTGCGACACCACGCGCTAAGGACGCATCAACGTGGAGGTGTTGGAGACGCGACACAGTCTCACCACTATAATCTGTCTAAACAGGTTACCATGGTTACCAGGTAAATAAAAAGTGAAGTACAGGCCTCAGTCTGAGCTGCAATAACAGAGACTGTTAGACTGTAAAAATGAAAGCTAACAGAGCCAACCGTAGCTGCTGGATACTAAGAGTACACAGAGTTATGAACTTGTACAAAACGCAGCGCTCAGTTGGATTTCCGGTAACAGTTACTGACAGAGCAGAAGAACCTGTCGACTCACATCAATGCGGGCTTCCAGCTCATGCAGAGGGATCCTGCGACTGTAGCACAGCATCTGTCTGCCGATGTCCTCGCAGATTGGGGTGGATCCTGGAGGAAGCAGATCAACACATGAAACCAGGCGCCGCACGACTGCACGCTCTACAGTCACGCTGCCTTACCGTCCAGATGCAGCAGCATGTTGGTCTTGAGCAGGTTCTTGGCCCGAGCTACCTCGCTCTCCGTCACACTGGTACAAAGAGAAATCCTGACAGGAAGCAGCGACACACAAGCGTTAAACACGTTCAGTCAGCAGGTTTAACCTTCTTTAAAACTTTGACGACTAAACTGATCTGAGCGCGCTCACCATTCCATTTGAGTAAAGTGCATCATGTCGTTGATGGTGCCGGGTTCACACACCATGTAGAGTCCCCAGAGGCCTGTGTCTGTGTAGCAGGTGTTGAAGGACTGGAAGCTATGGCACAGGTTCCCCTGACAGGCCATCTGAGCCAGCTTACTGGATAGATTCTAAA